CCTTATAATTTTCCCACTTTCCCCTCCCCTACCTCATTATTATTCAAATTGCTCTTGTTCAGTATGATTTTAATAAAGATTTTCAGTACAAGTATTAATGGGAGGAAACCCCAATAAGGTACATCCCTGGACGGACTGACAACTCATGGGGCCCCCGGGCAATAGGGGATCATGGGACCCCGGTGTTCTTGCCCAAACTCAAAAAAGCCTATGAAAAGGATACCAGGGGCATCTCATGGGGCCCCCTACTGACCCTGGGCCTTCGGGCAGTGCCTGAGTTTCTAAAAGGTCAGTCCGCCCTGGTACATCCAGAGACAGTTAAACCCCGTACACACAGGCCGAATATCGGCCAGTATCAGCTGGTTCAATAGAAACCAGTCAATATTCAGCCCACGTGTACACCCACCTGTCCAACAGAAGCAAGCCTAAAGGCCAGCTTCTGTCTAATGCACATGTTGGAAAACCAGCATCTGATCGGCATCTGATCAGTGTTGGCATCCAATGATCAGTGTGTACTGGTGGGGCCTGTCCGCCTGTCAGAACACTATAGCTCAGCGGGGAGATCACTGTACTAACATTGGATAGCTAGTACAGAGTGCTCCTCCCAAGCTCTTCAGTTTTTTTTTGTTCCGCCGCTGGGTTGAATGAAAAAAAAATGGTTTGTGTGTATCTAGCATTATACATAATAAAGTGGGACTACACTGCATCTGATCACTACAACCAAAAACACCATTTCATTTGTTTTTAATATGCAAAGTAAACTCAACCATCCGTACATGCCTCCATGCTTTATTTTGCTGAGAAATCACTTTCAAAAAGCATCGCTATCATTTCTGCCCGTGGCCATCTTGAATAATGGCAGATGGTTCATGTAGCATTTACTTACTTGAATCCATCTGCCCATATCTCAGGTATGCAGGCAGGAGGTTGTGCTTAGCTGCCTACCAAAAACCCTCCTCCCCTCCTGAAGACTTCTGAGATGTATCACATCATTTGCCTAGGCCAGAAACCAAGAAGTAAGTAAAGAAATACTAAAAAAAGGTTAAAACAAGTAAATATGATATACCTTCTTATTTACTAATGCTTGTAGCATAAGGATTAAAAATAGTCCATGTTGATTGAGAGAGTGAAGTTATGCTTTAATTACATCATCAGTCAGTGTCAGTATTATGTTTGTTACAACTGCAGAAGTCCTTAATTTAAATGTTTCATTCATAATCCATCAGTGGACGAACCTATCCAATTATTTTGCTTCCTTTTTTTTTTAACAAGACAGCATGGAACTAAAATATCTATGCTATTTCTCTACAATAAGACAATGTAGAATATTCCTCCGAGACTGGTACTATGCTTTTTTTTTTTACTTTCTTGTCACTCAGTTTTATGTAATCTTGTTGAATTCTATAAGTAAAGAATTATATAAAAAAGACAGCATGGAACTAATATCTCAGCTCTTTGAAATGTCTTCAACTTTGATACATTGTTACTGACATTAGTTCAGGAGATCAGGAGAAAGGCATAGATCATTTTGCTATGATGTGCTCTGGAGACCCAAGAGGTTTTCTAGATGTGGGAAGTATGTTATGCTCTACTGATCACCTGTAACAAATGTTGTGGACTACTGGTCTTCATATACTGGCCCAATCACTGCAGCTAATTTGTGATTGTAGGTATACCAATTTAAATGTAGACCAGGATGAGGTCAATGACAGGTCAAATGTCAATTAACTCAACATTTTCAGAAGCATTCTAAACTGATCTAAAGTACAAATGGAATGCAACTGAAAGTCTCACCCAGTTTAGACATTATGGTACCCGACAGTGTTCAAGACTAGCTATAGTTCATCTGGGTGAGGCACCATTCAACTAAGTGCTCGTTTTCACGTGCTGTTAGGGCATTTTTTTAGTTATTGACATTGTTGTCAAATTCTTTTAATGTATTGGGTTGGAGGTAATTTCTGTTTCTTTGCTTCTTTGTTCTATATAGCAATTGAATGACTTCTTTTGTTACTTAATAAAATTTACATTTTTATGGTAAAATTGCTTGGGCCCATTGAAGAACCTACTTTTGTAGAAAGTCTGTTTTTTACCTTTGTGTATGCTAGTTTTTAGGCCCATGGTCCACTCCTATATGCCTGGTTGAGCCTGTGGACCAAAATATTTGTATTTCCCCTTGTTTGGTTCTTACTAGGACCATTTATGTTTTTACCAATGTCTGGGGAGCCCATCGAATACTGTGTAGCCCCTCATTGTTGACCCAGAACTATACTCCATTTGTTCAGAGAGAGACAATATAAACAAAGCAGACATACTGGGCTACTAAAAGTTAAAGTCAAACTGAACCCTTGTTATATATTTCTGTAATGAAGCCAAGCTGCAAATATAGTAATACAAAGGTGGCTCTTTTACTTTTCTACACTTCTAAGTGCTGTAAAGAGTTAAAAATTGAAAGTTGCAACCTTCTTACCATTTCCTCCTCTGGGCATCACTGCAGCAAAGTCTGAGTAATAAAAAATAGATGAAACCTTGCAAATGATAGAGTCAAACTACAGCTCTCTTAGACAAAGCAATGCCCTGGCTCTCCATCAGTATGTCAAGTCCCCCACAACCACCACTCCAATCAAAGATTCTAATCAAGAGGGAGTGAATTTTTTTTTTTTTTGGGGGGGGGGGGGGTCTGGCTTTAAGACAAGCACTCGTCTGCTCTGAGGTCTGCATTGTTAATCACTCCAAGAGTTGGGAATGACAATTGAGAGGCTTTATAATTATCTGATATATAATATTTTGGAACCTTAGTGGACAATAGCATACTTTATAATAAATTAAATATAAACCTAGTCAGACATTAGAGAATGAAATGTGTGCACAGCCAGAAAAAATCCATTACACAGTGACATGAATGCACAGTAGAAAGAGTATCCTGAAAATATTTCATATTTTCTGAGCAGTAATGTCATCTATTCAGAGGGAAGAGCAAAGATGCAAAATATTTGGAGTGCAGCAGTACTTCACCAGTAAAATGTACAATATCTGAAAACTAGGAGAGTCATTCACATCATGACTTACCGCAAAGATTGCAGGTTACCTAATGTTAATTAAGAAATAAAAACATCTACTTTATATTGCCAATGTCTCATTTATGAATGAAAAGGATCCCGTGTTTAATGCTTTCACATGGGTATGAATCTCTTCTATTTTCTTATTTGTTATATTCATAAGGTTCACAGAATACAGTGGGTATAAAAAAGAATCAGCCCACTTTAAAATAATCACATTTTGTTGTTTTGCAGAAATGGAGACAGAGCTTTTGTTTTATCCAGCTGTATTTACTCAATGCAACTTATAACATCTAAGTGAAAGATATAACACTCACTGGGTTGGAAAAAGGATCAACCCCTCCTAAAAAAGACTTGTAAGCTCAATAAGGTGTAGCTAATCACCTTCTCAATGGCACACAAAGCCATTTGACTTTCAACTATGATCTGCTGTGGTCATTTTGATTAGCTCAGCATGAAAACAGCTTTCCTGGAGTCCCTGCTAGTGCAACTGAAGCAAACAATCAACTATGGGTGGCAAGGCACTGTCAAAAGATCTCCAGGAAAAAGTTGTGGACAGGCAAAAATCGAGAGATGGATACAAAACAATTTCAAAGGCTTTATCAATGCCTAGAAGCACAGTAAAGTCTAATATTAAGAAGTGGAAAGTATTTGGTACAAAACAGACCCTCCATGGATCAGGACGTCACGCCAAACTGGATGAAAGAGCCAGGAGGAAATTGGTCAGAGAGGCTACCAAGAGGCCTACAGCAACTCTGAAGCAGTTGCAGGAATGTATTATTTATGACAAAGTGTGGTCATTGTGTGCATGTAACAACAATATCACAAATTCTCTACAAATGTGGCTTCTATGGGGGGTTACAAGAAAAAAGCCACTCCTTCAGAAAGGCCACATGCAGTCACAACTGATCATGGAAAAAGGTGTTATGGTCAGATAAGACTAAAACTGAATTATTTGGCCTAAACGCTAAACAATATGTCTGGCGGAAATCCAAAGCAGACTACCATCCCAATGACACAATTCCTACAGTAAAGCACGGAGGTGGTAATATCCTGTTATGGGGGTGTTGTTCTGCAGCAGGGACTGGAGCACTTGTCAGGATAAAAGGAAAAATTAATGGGGTAAAATACCATCAAAATCTTAAGGAACATCTGCTGCCCTTTGCCAGAAAGTTGTAATCGGGAAGAAGGTTTACTTTCCAACATGACAATGACCCAAAGCACACAGCAAAAATGACCACACAGTGGTTAGAGGAGAAAAAGAGGGGGAGGGGGTGTCCGGCCGGCTCTGTAGATGGACGCTCCTTAACAGAGCTCCTCAGCACTTCCAGCTAAAACAGCGGCATCACCGAGAGAAGCGGGACATGGACACCCCAGTCGGGTACACTACCCTGACCGCTCCGGTGCAATACCCCATCGCCGAAAGTCACCTGGTCAGCTACAAAAGCTGACTTACTTCTACCCGGCCCGGGACTCCAGCAGCCAAGATGCACTTATACCCCCTTATTTACCAGGCCAATTTTCAGCTTTCAGTGCTGTCGCATTTTGATTCACAATTGCGCGGTCATGCAAGATTGTACCCATATGAAATTTTTATCATTTTTTTCTCACAAATAGAGCTTTCTTTTGGTGGTATTTAATTGCTGATGGGCACTTTACTTTTTGTGCTATAAGCAAACAAAGTGCAAAAAAATTTGAAAAAAAAAAAGTTTCTTTGTTTCTATTATAAAATCTTTCAAACAGGTAATTTTTCTCCTTCTCTGATGTGCGTTGATGAGGCAGCACTGATGGGCACTGATAGGCGGCACTGATGGGCACTGATAGGCAGCACTGAAGGGCACTGATAGGCGGCACTAATGAGGTGGCACGGATAGGCGGCACTGATAGGCAGCACTAATGAGGTGGCACGGATAGGCGGCACTGATAGGCAGCACTAATGAGGTGTCACGGATAGGTGGCACTGATATGCAGCACAGATTGGTGGCACTGATAGGGGACACTGATAATGGGTACTGATAGACAGCACTGATAGGTGGCACTGACTGACATCCCTGCTGGGCACTGACTGGCACAACCGCTGGGCACAGACTGGTGGCACTGACTGGCAGCACTGCTGGCCTGCACTGATGGGCACTGGTGGGTGGCACTGGTGGGCACAGGTGGGTGGCACTACTGGGCACAGGTAGGTGGCACTTCTGGGCACAGGTGGTGACACTGCTGGGTGGCACAGGTGGGCGCACTGCTGGGCACAGGTGGGTGCATTGCTGGGCACAGGTGGGCGCACTGCTGGGCACAGGTGGGCGGAACTTGTGTGTGGCACTGCTGGGCACCGATCATCAGGGCACTGATGATCAGTGACCCTGATGATAGGTGTCGATCCCCGCTCTGACAACTGCCAGTTTTCGGCAGTACTTTCCTCACGATCTGACAGCGTGAGGAAAGTGCAGCCGAGAACCAGCATTTGCATTTCCCGGTGATCAGCGTGTCATTGGACACGGCTGATCACGTGGTAAAAGACCGCTGTGATTGGCCTTTTACCACGTCACGTGATCAGCTGTGTCCGTAGGACACAGAAATCATGGAGATCGCCGGGTGCACGCCCCCTGGGGCACACAAGAGAGCGCGTTCTGGAAGGACATCATATGACGTCCACCCAGAACTGGCCGGCCGCAGTGCAGCCATCATTCGGCTATCTGCGGTCGGCAAGTAGTTAAATTCCGTGGCATTCCGGAATCAGTCAGTCCTGACACTTTAGTGCCTTACCTACAACAACTGATGAAACATCTCATCCCCTTGCTCAGTGATACAGATGTAGCCATTGACAGAGCTTACAGAATTCCAAAACCGCCCTTCTTACCAGCGTCAGTGCCTAGAGATGTACTGGTGCGAATACACTTTTACCATACAAAAGAGAAGCTTATGGCTGCAGTGAGGAACCCGACAGCAGTTCCTGCATCACACGCGGGGTGTTACGTTGTATGCTGACCTATCTGAAGCGACATTACTTCACATAAAGAAGCTGATTTCAATAACTAAGGCCCTACATAATAATGGCATCTGATACCAGTGGGGTTTCTCCACTAAACTCACAGTCAAACGACAGGGCAAATCTTTCACAATTAGAAATCTGGAAGCAGGTCTCAACTTACTGAAAGAATAGAATATCTTACCTGTAAATGACCATCCTCGCACCCTAAACCATCTCATAACATAGAAGGGGATTGGACCTGAACACGGTCTCAACATCCTTCAAGTGATCCTACTTAATATCCTCCCATTACTTGTAGCTGGAAGGCTTCAGCCTAAACCAAAAAATTCTAAGATTACAAAGAATACACCATTTTAGTCTTCATGCTCCCATGGGTCTAACAGGAGAGGTGTAAAGACATGAATTGTCTTTTTTTTTTTTTTAAGTGTGCAAGGGTGCTAAGGTCCTTATCTGCAGAGTAAGAACCTTGATTCATGAACCCCTTGGGCCCAAGGCTGCTGACAGGGGCAAGGCACTCATAAACTACAAGGCTAAAACAAAATGGATCTCACTCCTAAAATATTTTCCAAAAAATATATCCACCGGCTACATAGGTTTTATATTACCTTTGTCAGAATTTGCACACATTTGTAATTTACAAATAAACACTTATTACAGGCTGCATAGATAGCATTGTACATTGTTTGCAAAAATATTCTATAATGAATATCCAGCATTAGTCTTTATACTTTCTGGAAGACTGTGTTAAAGTGGTTGTAAATCTCAGACATGAAATAGGAACAAATTTCCTTTGTGTACTTATCTCTATTCTGGACACTAAGGGGTTGATTTACTAAAACTGGAGAGAGCAAAATCTGGTGCAGCTCTGCATGGTAGCCAGTCAGCTTCCAGTTTTTGTCTGTCAAAGCTTAATTGAACAAGCTGAAGTTAGAAGCTGATTGGCTACCATGCACAGCCGCACCAGATTTTTCACTCTCCAGTTTTAGTAAACCAACCCTTAAGTTCATTTCTGTCTGCTGCCCCATTCCTCTACTATCCACGTGAGTCACTTTTAAAAAGTTTTCCTGAAACCAAGAGAAAAAAGGTGAGATGGGAGGTAGCTCCAACATACAGCCTGTGATTGACATCCTCAGGTCTGTTCCTCTGTGCTGTGTGAATGGATGTGTGCCCCTTCCTTCCAATCAGCTCTTAGAGCTTTCCTAATTGAGCTCTGCAGTGTGTAATTTCAGCTATCTGCCCCTTTTTTTCTGACAGCTCAGACAAGCATTATAAATTCTGGACTTTCAATGGATATAGAGAAGAGAAGGCTCTAGATAAACAGGTACAGCTAAAATAGGAGGACTTGTTTCATCTCTGTGTATCGCCTGAGGCCAGTCACTTTACTGAATATATGTAAGGGTTTACAACCACTTTAATCAACTAGCTATAACACTGCTGTCTCTGATAGTAGAGGTGAAAAGAATTGTGTTCTTCCTCTGTCATTCCAGTTTTTGCAGATTTAGCTGCTATTTGAGGCTTGCTTAGAGCTCCACTTGCTGGCCTCAAGTGATAGATATAATTATTTATATGCAAAGTGTCTTATGTACCTGATTAAAAAATAAATACAAATATTTTCCATAAGTTGCTAAGACTGTAGTTATTTCATTCCAATGGAACATTTAGAATTCATATTAAGAAAATTGTAGGTGCACAAGTAATATGTGATAACATGCTTTGCCATGCCACAACATTGTATGAAGCCATTATATTTTTATTTATGTAGCAACATGTGTCACTATATATAAAACGACAACAAATTGTTACTAAAATTAGTTAAGTGAAAGGCTGCCTAGGGGTTTATCTTTGTCATTTAAGCACACAGGTCCGACAACACGTTCTACTGGGTCACTGAGTCACCTCTCCTAACTCAGAAGTGTGAAGGGAGGCATTGTAGTTGTCAGGATAATTTACTTGTCAAGGAAGGCACTGCAGTACAGTGTCAAATGTTCTTGTAAGACACGGCTCCTTCATTATCACTGCAGGTGTACGGCTAGACATGTCTCAGAAACCAAATCTAAAACACTAGGCACAGGGAGCTTTGCAGAGCGCTAGAGGGAGGATTAATTTAAGGTTTCCTCAAGCTTTGACCTTGGTCTCAAAGATGACTTGTTATAAAGATGTGACCAGTTCCACTGGCTATGGAGGCTTTACAATACGTCTTCCGTTTGAAATGACATTGATTGTTAAAGTTGGCATAGCCGAAGCAGCTATGCAAATACTATTCTTTTGCAAGTTTTGCAGGCCAAGGTTTGACTTCAGAAGAATAAAAAGCTGAAAAAAACAACTGATGAATATTTTCATTTATTTGTAACTCTAAAACTTTACACAAAACAAAGGTTTATAAATGCTGGATGGAAAATAATGCTTTGTGATTAATGCAAAGAAATCCACTTGTATTTTAGTGTGCAAGTGTCTTTTAACAATGCAGGGATACTCTGCCATCTAGTGTCTATTATTAGGTAATGCGAGCACTGAGCAACATTATGTTTGAATAGCTTTACTGATATTTAAAAGGTACGCTTTCTGAAATATTTTTGCAACACATGAGTTTGGCCTCTTTTAGAAAGTTAATCCAGGTAACGTGAAACCAATCAATGAGCTACTAAAGCATTTCAGCTTAAATCAGAATTTTTTACTTGGTTTACCTTATTCGAAGTTCTCTGTAATCCACTGCAGCCATTGCACATAAAGACCATCTTACAACATCAGTGTGAGGCAGGCATGGATGTATTCCTGAAACCCATGTAGTGTTGTATCTTCTCTCTGCTTTCTGCATCATCAGTTATACTGAAACCTAATAGGTTTCAATCTGAATGATGGCAGCAAAAGTGTCTGACATTTTTTGGTAGCAAGAAGCCAACGGGAGTGTTCAGGGACGGACTGACAACTCATGGGGCCCCTGGGCAATAGGGGATCATGGGGCCCCTGTGTCCTTGCCCAAGCTCAAAAAAGCCTATGAAAAAGGTACCGGGGCATCTCATGGGGCCCCCTACTGACCCCGGGCCCTCGGGCAGTGCCCGTGTTTCCAAATGGTCAGTCCGCCCCTGGGAGTGTTTCAAACTTACACGACCTTGGGAAGGTAGTAAATACTTAGTGCTGAACCATCAGAAAGCTAGATCAAAAAGTGATTGCACTGCTTGATTTTTATTAATTCATTATAATAACAAGCATGTCATGCTTACCTGTTCTGTGCAATGGTTTTGCACAGAACAGCCTCAATTTCTTCTCTCCAGGTCCCCTGAAGGAGCTCTGGGCTCCTCCCACCTGCTGAGTGCACCTTCAGCAAGCCACGTGCTATGGGGGCACTTGTGCAGGCTCACTCCCGACCCCCTTCTCTCTGCGTCCATTCACACACAGAGCATGGCTCGGCCCTTCCCCCACCTCTCCTCACTGGCTGTGACTGACAGCAGCAGGAGCTAATGGATCCCACTGCAGTCTCTGAGCCAATGAGGCGGGAGAGAGCTGAGAGAGCCACTGTTCTCATGTACTGGATCGAGATCAGGCTCAGGTAAGTATAAGGCAGGCTGGAGGGTGAGCAGGCCACAGAAAGTTTTTACCTTAACCACTTTACATACGCCCTATAGTAGTTTTACTGCTACAGGGCGGCTCTCCTGTGCATTATTATGTATATATGTGATTGTGCACTTCCACCTCACAGGGGGGAGCACGTGCGCTTCCGGTGGATTGCTTCTGCTGTGAACTGTCACAGCAGAAGCCAATCTGCGAGTCCCAGCAAACAGATCTTCATAGGCACCCACAGATCATTGGGCAGGGAGGAAGAACAGAGATGTGCCTAAGTTTAGATCACATGCCTGACTAAGGGGTCCTGTGTGGCTCCAAAACGTTGCACTTTTTTCTGTGATATGATCTTCTTTGCAATACAAAAAACTCTTTAGACCATATCTGGAGATCCATGGTGTGCTGGTGAATATGTACATTTACCTATGTTTGCATAGGCACAGCTCTGTTGTGATAGGGGAAAGTGATCGACCATGTGTCCCTGTAGAGCTGGGAACATGATCCATCACTTCCTCTTGTATCAACACTACCTAGTGTACACCAAGCACATAGCTAAGCACACACTTAACCCTTTGATCACCCTAGATGTTAATCCCTTCCCTACCAGTGTCATCAGTACAGCAATAAGTGTAAATTTTTAGCACTGATCCCTGTATTAGTGTCACTGGTTCCCACAAAGTGTCAGTGTAAAAATGTCAGCTGCAAAAAAATTTAACAAATCTAATTTTGTCATAAATTTAGGTCAAAATGTATTCTGCTAAAAAAATTCCAATACATGTAAATTAATTGGTTTAAGTGTAAGCTATA